AATAAAATAATATAAATAAAATAAAATTATAAATTATAAAATAAAAAAATTGATATAAATAAAATAAAAATTAAAAATTATAAAAAAAATAATATAAATGAAATAAAAAAATATATATATAAAAAAAATTATATTAGAAATGAAATAAAATTATTTATATTATTTATTATTTATATTATTTATTATTTATATTATTAAAAAAATAATAATATAAACAAACCAAAATTATAAATTATATTTAATATAACAACTATAAGAAATTATATAAATTATTTTATTTTTATTTTGGATAGGAATGAAAAGTATAATAACATTATTTATATTTCTTATTTTATTTAATGAAGATAGGAATAGGAATAATAGGAATGAAGATATGCTCAATAAGTTGTGGTTATTATGAGGATTTTATTATTTTATTAAATATGATTTTTAATAGGATTATTTTTATTAAAATATATTATTTATAATTTAATTAATTATTTATTCATTTATTATTTATAATTATTTATTCATTTATTATTTATAATTATTTATTTATTTATTAATTATTTTCGAAATAGATTTCTTTCAGTGCATTGGGGAAGCCAAGTTGAAAGAACTCTTGGATAGCATTGTTGCTCTTTTTTTCCTCTTTTTTTTTTTTTATTTTTTTGTGCTTTTTTGATTGGTTTGACCGATTTACATTGTGCAGAAAAAGAAATGAGTTTTGGGTTTTAGGTTTTAGGTTTCTGGTCTTGGGAGGCAGGGTTGGTGATGGAGGCAGAGGTGTGTATGGTGTGTAGAGCTTTTCATTTGTTTTTTTTTTTTTTGGCCTACATCGTTGGCCTCCCTTCTATGTTGGCCTCCCTTCTGCTGGCTCCATTTCTGATAATTAAAAAAGCAACATTTCATTTGTTTTTTTGTTTCGTTGTTGTTGCCTTTGCCGGCCTTTTCCCTAATGCTGTTTATGTCCAATGGCTTGGCATCTTTGAAATCTTTGGCAACTTGCCCGCCGGCGGCTCTCTTCCCAAAAACATGAACCGGAGTGGACTCCCGACTGAATACGGGATATGGCGAGTCGCCTGAGCGGAGGTCCTGAACGGAGTGGGAGGCCCTGGGTTGTTTTGTGGAGGGATTTGTCAAAGGATTGTGAGGCTTTATTTCAATGAAGCCAGATTTCCATTTAATCTGCAAACGATCCCTACAAATACTGGTAACCCTGGAATGGGGTCACTTTTTGGTTGAAAAATAAAGAAATTTTGGAAAAAAATCTGAAAAATTTAATAGTCCGGGATTTTGATGCAGAATTGCGGAGAATTAATCTACGAATCGTTCAAAGTATCCCGCTTGAAGATCGGATCAAAATCGGCGTAGTTATAGCCTTCCCGGTGGCCATACCGGAATTCCCGGTGTTTTTGGAGGGGACCCCCTAGAAATTTTGGAAAAAAATCTGAAAAATTTAATAGTCCGGGATTTTGATGCAGAATTGCGGAGAATCGATCTACGAATCGTTTAAAGTATCCCGCTTGAGGATCGGATCAAAATCGGCAAAGTTATAGCTTTTGCTGGGGACCTACTGGGATTCCCGGTGTTTTTGAGGGGGACCCTCTAGAAATTTTGGAAAAAAATCTGAAAAATTTAATAGTCCGGGATTTTGATGCAGAATTGCGGAGAATTGATCTACGAATCGTTTAAAGTATCCCGCTTGAGGATCGGATCAAAATCGGCAGAGTTATAGCTTTTGCTGGGGACCTACTGGGATTCCCGGTGTTTTTGAAGGTGACCCTCTAGAAATTTTGGAAAAAAATCTGAAAAATTTAATAGTCCGGGATTTTGATGCAGAATTGCGGAGAATTGATCTACGAATCGTTTAAAGTATCCCGCTTGAGGATCGGATCAAAATCGGCAGAGTCATAGCCTTCGCGGGGGCGATACCGGCATTCACGGTGTTTTTCAAGGGGGACCTCTTTGAAAATTGTTTCCAAGATATGAGGATTACATTCCCATACCCCTGATATTTATTTTGTTGCAATGATATAAGAATTCTAGACTATAGAGTCACGTCTCATGGCCGAGTGGAGAAATGTGTCGCATCATCGGATGGATGGCCGGAGAATCTAGTTTTGTTACGCAATCGGATGGATGGATGGCCTGGGAGGGGGAGGTGGAAACTGGTCACCTAATGAGCCTAATCCACCGTTTATGATCGGGAGAGAAAGAAGAGTAATCAGATCGAAATATTTATGGCATTTACATACCCATGTGATTTCTTTTCGATGCGGATTTGTTTATGGAACGACGACTACGACGACGACGACGAAAAGAAAGTTTGTTTTCAGCTTTGATGTGTGAGGCAGTAATATACACTAATAACAATAACAATAATAGCAACGTGATGGTTGGAGCGAGTTGTGTTGCCCCAATGTCACGCCCCCTTGGTAGAAAGAGGGGTGGCGGGCAAGCAAGCGTTTTGTTTAAATAATCGAGTCAGAGACAGAGACTGAGACTGAGACTCAGAGACAGGGGCACACCATAAGAAAGCGGAATAATAATAAAAAAAAAAATAATAACAATAATCATGCGAGAAATACTCATATATACATACACACATTAAAAAAAAAAAAAAAAAAAAATGAAAACCAACAAGAAGCAAGTGAAATTATATATTTTTTTGGCGAAATTTCTTAACACTTTCATAATCAGAAGTCATGAGCCGACAGAACCCCCCCCTCCTTAATGAAAATAAATTAAATTAAGCACATAAGCTGCTCAGCGAGCCGTGCCTGGTTGGGCTTTCAAGTAAAACTGAAACCTAAGCTCCATTCTGGGTTTATTCTTCATCTGCATTTATATTTCGATCTTCGATCTTTTTCGGCTGTGCCCGCGCCGCCCGTCGCCTGCTGTTGCTGCCCTTGCGCTTCAGACGCTTCTCCTTGAGCTCCTTCTGGATCTTGTAGATCTTCTCGGCCAGCAGGTGATAGTACTCGGAGCGCGACTTGGCCATCTCGTACATGTCCTTCTCGACCTTCTCCGCGTACGAGACCAGGTTGTGCATGCGCTTGTCCTGCATGGTGGTGGGATCGGAGGTGGGGAAGATGGCCTGCACCAGGTTGTGGACGAGATGGTTACGCAGATCGGCCGTCACCGATTCCCGCCAGTCCTTCTTATTGTAGCCGGGTGTGCCACCGCCTCCGCCACCACCAGCGGCACCGCCGCCTGCTCCAGTCACCACACCACCAGCACCACCAATACCACCGTTTCCTTGCTGCTGGGACGTTCCCGACTGATGTTCCTTTAGCTGGTCCATTCCTGGGCGATGGGGTTTATGCCTGGAGGGGATAAGCGATATAAGTTAGTGTTAATAGGATATATTTTGTGGAATATAGGTAGCTATGTAGGATTAAAGAAGTAAAAAGACTTAAGGTTAGCGTTCCTGGCGATAGCCTAGTTCTTAAATAGAAAACTCGCTCTGGGAAATCCCCTATAGATGTACTAAGAATTGTGTTGTGAATTTATTGTATTATTAAGAAATTCGGACGGCGAATTATTATCAGTTTCAGCTATTAGTTGGGGTAGCCAGAGATATGTATGAACGGCTCAGGGCCGTAGCTAGAGCCTCGGGGCCCCTGGGGCAACAAGTAAATTTGGGGCCCCCTATACGGAAGTCTTTTGCCCCGGCGGGGCCCTTTCCCTTCGGGGGCCCTGGGACACCGCCCCACCTGCCCCATGCTAGCTACGGCCCTGGATATGAATCATCCCCAGAAAAACCACAGAATATCAACACATGCCAGCATTCTATAATTGAAGAATCACTTGCTGATAGGGCTTGCTTATCACTTGCTTGCTTAAAAATTAATACATTTTATTATTGTATTAATTAATAAATCAGTAAAGACGTCCGTCTAGATGTTTCAATCGTTTATTAGTTTTTTGTTTCCGGTCTTGGACTTACAGTTCCAATACAATTAATGTTCACTTTTCGTCCGCTTCCCTCGATTGAAAGAGTAGAATAATGGGAAGCTTTGGCGCGGGGCTGCCAGATGATTTAACTATCGGATCTGTAGCTTCAGTGTTGCCAGATGCCGCAACATTCCATCTATCGCAACACTTGTATGTATATTCTTAGATTATTTATCGTAAACGGCTTTTCTTTTTAAATTAGTCGCACTGTAATTGGTTTTTATTATAAAATTCTTAAAAGGAATTAAGATATATTCTTAATTCTTATTTATTCTTAAGAAATCATCTTTAAATTATCACAAACATATCAAAAAATATAATTTCTTAAGAAAAAAAAATATTTCTTAAGGGGTTATATAAAGTTGTGATAGATTAAAAAATCGATTTTTTACTTTTTTAAATCGATATTCTTTAAGTATATACTGTTGAGAAAGTTCATAACGAACGGAGCATTAGAACCGAAGTTGTAGCTATTTATCCGATCCGATCAACACCAATTTTTGATTACTTATGTATTTATTATGATATTAGCTAGTCCGTTAACGAAGGATTTTCAATTTTTTTTGAAAACTCCTTTTTTAAAGCATAAAAATCAAAAATCTTATACCTTGAAAAAGTAAATTTTTTGTAAAACCGTCGCCATTTTTTTTAATCAAAATTTTTACAAATCCTTCGTTCACGGACTAGACAATACAATCTCATTTTCAAATTCAAAATTTTATTGAATTTTTGATTTCGGATGAACCGTTCTCGGGATATGATGTGCACCGCAAGACACCATCGAAAAAAGTCGATCCGGGAATTCGGCTATAACATTTTTATTATTTATTATTTTTTTTTATGAAAAAATTTAAATAAGTACCCAGAAACATGTACTAAACAACGTCAGTAAAATATTTTTAATAAATATTTTTTATGGTGTCAAAAAAATCGATAAAATTTCTTTTTTTTCGGCGGTACAACTGTATATAACCCCTGAAACTAAGTTTCTTACTTAGTAACCCCTAAGTTAAACTGAAACCTGAGTTTGATTTACGGAGCGGAGTTGGCTCCATTCTGGGTTTATTCTTCATCTGCATTTATATTTAGATCTTTTAAAATTCCAATACAATTCGAAAGGGGCTCTTGAGAACCTCCGCCTCCGCCAGGTGGGCTATTGGCGATCTGGAGCACCGAATGATTCTGTCGAAAGGGATAGCAAATGATGCAGGCGCTGTTTATGCAGGTCTTGTAGTGTAGGAGGATCTGTCGCGAGGAGGCGCAGTGTTGCATCGTGCAATCCTTGCTTTGCTTACATGTACCCATGTGGGCGAGTACGGCCTTCATGGTCTTGCAGTAGTTAACATGACACACCCTACGGTTCGGGTTCAGGTTCTCGCGTCGGTTGCACTTGTGGGCATGGAGGAGTAGCATCAGCTGCTGTTGGATCTGCCGCTTGCGGTCGTCTGTCGCCAAGCCATCGGCACCAGTTACTACTCCGCCACCACCAGCGGCACCGCCGCCTGCTCCAGTCACCACACCACCGTCTCCTTGCTGCTGGGACGTTCCCGACTGCTGTTCCTTTAGCTGGTCCATTCCTGGGCGATGGGGTTTATGCCTGGAGGGGATTAGCGATATAAGTTATTGTTAATAGGATATATACATAGGTAGCTAGGATTAAAGAAATAAAAAGACTTAAGGTTAGCGTTCCTGGCGATAGCCTAGTTCTTAAATAGAAAACTTACAAAGCTAATGATTATGAATTGAGAAAGAAATATCAGCTTTTTTAAGAAATATCAAATAGATGTTTTTAACTGAGAAGGATGAGATGATGTGGTAGAGATCCACTTTCTTCAACTGATCCTGTTGCTCTGTGAAATCCCCTATAGAAACACTTTTGATTTTATGAGATGTCCCCATCCATGTACTATATAATCTTTTGTGGTATCAGTTGAAGTGATGTACTAAGAATTGAGTTGTGACTTCATTGGATTACTAAGAAATTCGGACGGCGAATTATTATCAGTTTCAGCTATTAGTTGGGGTAGCCAGAGATATGTATGAACGGCTCAGGGCCGTAGCTAGAGCCTCGGGGGCCCTGGGGCAACAAGTAAATTTGGGGCCCCCTATACGGAAGTCTTTTGCCCCGGCGGGGCCCTTTCCCTTCGGGGGCCCTGGGACACCGCCCCACCTGCCCCATGCTAGCTACGGCCCTGGAACGGCTGTATCTTAGGCTTTGGGGAGGGCAATGTAGGGCAGGCTTTGAATTCCATTAAATTAAATATAAATGTTTTTTAAATAAAAAATTTCAAAATCCACGTACCTTAAAAATGCAAAAATAGAGATAAGACCCTTTCTTTAAATTGAAATCTTAAATTGGGTTTCCCTGGTTTATAGCAAGATTTTTCGATAAAGAAGAACAAGAAAAGTTCACAGATCGGAAATCTATAATTGAGATTGAGAATTAAATAATAAAAAAAAAAACTCGCAGTTTTTAATGTGATTATTTGAATGTGATATGAGTCATACCCAGAAAAAGCCAGAATAATAACACATGCTAGTATTCTAGAATTATAGAATCACTTGCTTATAGGGCTTGCTTATCACTTGCTTGCTTAAAAATTAATACATTTTATTATTGTATTAATTAATAAATCAGTAAAGACGTCCGTCTAGATATTTCGATCGTTTATTAGTTTTTTGTTTCCGGTCTTGGACTTACAGTTAAAATACAATCAATATTCACTTTTCGTCCGCTTCCCTCGATTGGAAGAGTAGAATAATGAGAAGCTTTGGCGCGGGGCTGCCAGCTGGCTTAACTATCGGTTCTGTAGCTTCGGCGTTGCCAGATGCCGTAACATCGCTTCTATCGCAACACTTGTTCTTTGATTATTCTTCGTTATCGTTTTTTTTTTAAATTAGTTGTAGTATAATTGGTTTTTATGAAATTTTTATAAGAAATTAAGATATATTCTTAATTCTTAAGAAATCATCTTTAAGGTATCAGAAACATATCTAAAAATATAATTTCTTAAGAAAAAAAAAACATTTCTTAAGATAAACTATTTTTGGTATTACCCTTATTGGTTCTGATACTGGGTCCTCTTCGAATACCCTGCACTCCATGGGAAGTGTATCGGTTCGTGTATCGATCTTGTTTAGTGAAGAATTTTTTTTATTTTTTGTTCATAGTAAAAAATATTCTAATAATATCCATAATAAAAGCTATGTTTTGTTTATGAAAAAAGCTTAAAATATAAAATTATTTGTATACTTTTATAATTTGAAACAAAAAATATGTTTTTAGTCCTTTTTTTATGTTTTACCAAAAAAAAAACTCCAAAATTATAAATAATGCTCGATTTTATTTTCAAGAATTTTTCATTTAATTTTTATTCTATTTCTTAAAAAAGCATAAAAATAAGTTGTTATTTAAAAACTTTTTGGATTTTTTTATTGTTCTAACACAATTTGTTTCTGGTTTTAAATTAAAGCTAAAACCATAGGTTTTTTAAACTAAAAACAGAGCTTTCGTCACTATTACTTTTTGTACTAGTACTATTTTCTTTGTTTTCCTAAAAAAAAACACTAGTCTCATTCACTTTTTTTTTTTCAATAACACAGCAAAAGTAAACAAAGAGCTCATATTTGTTAAACAAAAGAAAAGTTAACAATTTAATTAAATAAATGATGAAATTAATAACAATGAGGGAGAAACAAAATCAGCATCCTTTCATCTCACTCTCACCACTCTTTGTCTCATTACATTGTTTGTTCCCCCCCTCCTATCCCCCCTCCCCACTTTCTGTTGTTCTCCCTCCGTCTCTGGTCTCTCTGGCTGACATTGAACTGTGTCAGTGGCAGTAGTCGCAACAGCAACAACAACAGCTCCATGTAATGGGGAGGCCCCCAGCCTCTCGCCTCTCTTCTTTCTCTTTTGGGCATGCGCAACGTCGACAGCGACGACGACTGCGCTGCCGGAGCAAATGTGCGCCGTTTCGTTCGTTTCGTTTCGTTTCGTTCATTGTTGTTTGTTGTCCGGCGCGCCGTGTTCATCTCACTCTGATTTTTCCGCGATCGCGGTGTGTGCGCTTTCCCACATGGCCTTTTAATGCCCAAGTTTCTAACAAAAAAAAAAAAAAATAATAAGAAACGCCAATTTATTTATTATTTGTTTGTTACTGTGCTCATGGTGCTGGTAGTGAGTGAAAAATGCCCTAAAATGCAACAAACACACTGGAATGTGAGCATACCCGAGGATAAGAATAACAACAACAGTGAGAAAAGCAGTGGCTGTCATCAACGCATCTTCATCTGCATTGCCAAGGTGTGTGTGTGTGTGTGTTTTGAAAAGAAAAAAAATCATTTATTTCCCAGGATTTTATTTTCTAAGCTTTGCTGCTCTTCTCTTATCGCAGGATGGTCTCTCTGGTCGTTCTTCTTTGGTCTATTTATAGACCCACTTTATTAGTTTTTGTTTCGCTCCTTCTCCTTAAACAACTTGTTGCACCACCAAGGTACTGCTGCAGCCATCCCTCTCGCCCCCCCCTGCGAGCTTTCCAGCTTCCTTTACCTTCTTCTTGCCGTTGCTTCCTCTTGTTCTTCTCCTCGTAGTTCCTAGTTCATTAGCATCAAACAAAGAGAGTTGGATTCCCACCTTGGATTTACCGAGAAACCTGAGAAAGAGGCAAGCACACACATGCTTCTTTTTTTATTCTTTTCTTTATTTTTTTTTGTTATTGCTGCTGCTGTATGTTGTTGCTCTCTCTCTGGTCCAAGCGCCTGCACGGCAAGAAAAAGAAATTGGAGCAGAGTTGAAATAGCCCCGGCGGTAGTCGTTATCTTATCAGATCAGCCTTAGCGGTATAAGCGTCTCTCTCCACTTATAGTTCTTTAAACGAAACTAACACTAAAGAGCTCGATACTCGGTATTAAGTTTTATCATCTTTGGAGATTTCGAACATCCCCACGTTCTTTGTTTATCAAATACGGATGAAAAACAACGGTATATCATAATGAAGTTAACCTGATGAATTAGGGTGGTACTTGTTTAGAAATAAATCATAATTATTTAGAAAATTAGCACTTTGGTATTTTAGAAGATATTTTTGAAACCATAGTATAATAATGGTATTTATTTTTAAATTCCGAATAAAAGGGAAATTACTAATTTAGTATTTTAGGATTAAAATTTAGGATTTTTCAATTTCTAATTAAAACTATTACTAATTTAGATAGAATTTGTTATTTTTTTTTATAAATTTTAATATTTGACTTAATTTTTTCTAAGAAATTAAAATATTATTTTAGAATATATATTTTTTTAAAGCCTCTAAAAAACAGCTCCATAAACTCTCACCTTTAGCTCTCTTCAGAACAGTTAATTGCTATAACTGTATATAAAAACTTCTCTTATTAAACCCCTATTTAAGCTTCGAGTTTTCTTCTTCTTTTTTCTTCCACTTTACATTATTTGTTTATATTTTTTGTACGACTTCCTGTATAAAATATTACCAAATATAACCAAAGTGTGAAATCCTATATTCCATTCCGCCTTTTGGCCCTCAGCTGTTTTTGGCTTTTTTTTCTTGTCTTCGTCTTCTGCTGACCAAGTTCCGTTTGGAAGTCACCATATGTAACACATCTCGCATCTCTGGCCATCTAATCTCTTGGGAGAAGAAGAGAAACATAAAGAAACACAATGAAAGGCAAAAAGATACAAGACCCCCGACATGAATTGGCATGCAAATGAAATTTCGCTGCCAACGTCACCGCTGCCGGCGCTGCTGCTGCTGCCGCTGCTGCCATTTCTCTTAGAGAGGAGACAAAAGCGTTTCTTCATATGCAAATGGGCGTGGCTAAAGGGGGAGCTAGGGAAGGGGGCATGGCATACAATGAATGAAGATAAACCGTTTGAATAGCACCGATACATATGCTAACAGAGGTACTTACAGTGGAGCGTCCATATGGTTGAGAGTCACGTTACAACAAAAAAAAAAGTATCTTTACATGGAGTTTGTTTTGTTGTTGTATTCTTGAAGTTAATCTTCAGAAAGCATGCTTTTTTTTTGTGCAATCTGGTATGGTTTCATCTTTTCCGCCCAAACCCCATCATTATCATCATCATCATTAACCGGAAGCACAGTAAACGCTCTTTTAAAAAGCCACCAAACCCAACCATTTCGAATCAATTGCAAATAAAGTGTGAAGAGAGGAAGTTTGTCTCTCCTCTTCTCTCTCTCTCGTCGCCCTACTTCCTGTTTGAAATTGTGGCATATTCCCAGACTGGCATAATCTGTCAGCAATATCCTGCAATCCCGGGAAAGGAAATGCTCAAAAGGAGTGGAAATGGCTGGGAAAATGGTTCGAGTTCGAGTGCTTTGAGAGTGGAATTATAACTAGAACAATACAAGTGGGGTTGGATAGGAAATTGAGGATTAATTGTCTAGAATACTTATATTAAAGGTATTGGGGTTTAATACATATATTAACCGAAAGGGGAAATGGTAGAATTTCAATGGAGTTCTATAGAAAAATAAAAGGATTTGGGATTAATTGGTTTGAAAATAATAACATTTTAGGAGTAATATCATATAAAGGGTTTTAGGGGTTAAATCAGATAGTTCATATCATCATATCTCAGTTTATTATATAGTACTATTTTATCTAGATTCTATAGTAATGAAGTTCTATAGAAAAATATAGGATTTTAAAAAGCTGGAGAATCTCTGTAGAAATTGTATATTAAGGGATTTAAGGGATATATCTTATAGAAACAGTACTAATACTGGTAGTATGTACATATATAGAGTTCTACAGAGTTCTATAGAAATTAAAACTATTATTAGAAATTATAAAACTATTTTAGAAACTAAAAAGTAAATGGAGATCTGCAGGAAAAATAAGGATTCATTTCCTTATAATGCTTCAAACGACAAAGATATAGCTTTCTCATGAAGTTAAGGGATATATACTATATATTAATATACATATATAATAACTAAAACTATTACAATAATGGAGGTAAAGGAGTTCTACTAAAAATAGACAGAATTTAGGATTCATTTTCTTAAAAAGCTTCAAGCAGGGAAAGATATCAAGCATACTATCTCAGGACCTACCTATATCATATATCATAGAGTAGAATACCATGATATAAAGTCATCGGGTAGAATTTCATAAAATTTCCATAAGAAATCAACAATAATTAACATCCTCCTTGATAGTTGAGAGTCATTATTTAAAACTCTATCTACTATATCTGATATATCTATATAATCCACCCAACTCATTCTCTGAATGAAAATCAACGTAGATACATATACTATGTACATATATTCAGTATAATTCCGATTTTAAAGAGCCCTCGTTCATCAACCAGCTTAGTCAGTAATGAAATCATATTCCCTGATGGACCCAACACGATATATCATATATCTCATATATGTATACTTCCCAATCATATATAGACCTTATATATAGCCATATCTCCCTGCTTTCTCCTTGGGAACCCAGATGCTTATAAACCAAGCGACTCTAACTGTCTCTAGTTGGGAGTCTTTTTTTCCAATCGCTGATCGTTGGGGGGTTTTGTCTTTATTTTTTTTTTCTGTCAGAAAGCAGTTAACGGAGGAGGAGGCCAACTCTCTTCTAGATTGGATCTCTAACTAAAGCTCTGGTTGCCTTCCAGCGATTTTTACAGTTTCCAGGTCCAAGAAGTCTAAGAATCAAAAGCGATCCGTACGGAACGGAATGGAACAGTTGGCCTCGCTGTCTGTCGCTTTTACTTTGCATGCCAACAGTTATAATTTTTACACTGAAAGAAAAATATTAACTAAAGATATTCTTAAAGAATTGTAGAGTCTTATATCTTGAAGAGAAGAATTTTTTTTTTGTGTAAAAATACTAGCTTACTTGTTGCTCTATTAAATGGCTGGCTGGCTCTTCAACCAAAAGATTTACGTTGCCATAATCATAATTATAACCATAACCAGAACTCGACCAGAAACCGGAAGCCAACTGACACGCCTACCGCCTTCTCGCCATGCTTTTCTTCGAGAGAGATGATTGGAGAGCGCAAGATTGCAAGGGAACTTTCTCATAATATCTTAAAGATATTTTTTTGGTATTTGAATGTTGGTTTATTTCCCATCACTTAGAGATGGATTCATTCCAACGTGTCTTAGTCACAAATCCAGAGCACTATAAAGCCACTCTCTCCATCGATGTAAGCTACAAACATACATACATATGTAGTTTAATCCAGTCCTCTCCAAAGCCAAAGAAAAAGTGAAAGTAGCGCCCGTGGTGCCATTAGCGAGTGTCTAAAATTAGACAAGTCTCGGTGACCTGTTGGCCTAGGCCAGGTACCAGACCAGGCCAGGCCAGGCACACACATGAACGGATGACACATCACATAAACAAATATCAGATATCCAGTTACCAGTTTTCCCATCTGAACTGCTTGCACTGCTTACTTTATTAGTCAAGCAGTAGTTGGTAACTAGACGACCTGTCGATCAACGGTCCTGTGGCGCAATGGATAACGCGTCTGACTACGGATCAGAAGATTCCAGGTTCGACTCCTGGCAGGATCGAAGTTAACATTTTTTTTTTATTATTTTTTTTTTTATTTATTATTTTTTTAAGCCATTAAGACTCTCTTGTTGGCTAATATTTCTTTGGAAAAACGTGATGGTTTTTAAGGCAAAAACCAAAAATGACGCATAGTCATATCTCACCTTTTTTTTTTTGTTGTTGTTTTTGTTTTTGGGCCCTAATAAGATACGAAATCATTTCAAAGGAATCCCTGGACCCCATACAGTGGAGCAAATATAAAAAAAAATTTAATAATATTTTTAGAAATACCTAGAAATTAAACTAAAAATGATTAGGTTTTTCAATGAATTTTAATTTCTATTATTTTTTTTTATATATATTTTCCAATTAAATGTTTTCCTCTAGAAATTCTACTTCCATTGAATTCTAGTTCTCCCCAATGACTCTTATCCCTGGAAATCTTGATTGGTATTCTACAAAAAATTATTATAAGTTTTAAGAAATTTTCTTGTTTTTAATTATGAACTTGCATTTTTTTTTTATTTAATTCCTCCCCGTCTTGCAATTTAATTTAAGACCCTGGCATACCCCTTTGGGAGTAAATTTCATGCTAATTGATAGTCTCCGATTGCGATTCAGTGAATGGGAAGTTCTGCGAACCGCACTTCTTGAGATATGGGCCATGGTTCTGGTGAACTCGTGCCCGCCAGATAAGCTATCGAAGCCAAAGACCAAACAATGCCCTGCCGCTTTCGTTCCACTGTGCAGGGTGATGGAATACATATATATATATATATATATGAGTATTGATGAGGCACATATATATGTATGTATGGATGGTGACATATGGTGGCTCCACTGGCACTGACAGAGGCGGAGACGGAGACGGAGACTCCCGACTCCCGCATGACTCAAAATGTTGGTATGCCCCCCGGCTCTGCCGGCGCCGCTGCTTCCGCGAAATCCGCTCAACGTGTTCTCTCCACCTTCGTTGCTGCAGTTCGTTGCCACCGCAGCAGCGACGCCACTGGTACACTGAGAGAAATTTCTAAAGTCAATATGAAATATATATAAAATTATCTATAGACGGTGTTTTTTTTTTTTAAGGCTAATCATTGGGGATTTCCTTGGTTTGGAATTGTTTTATTTGAATACCAGATTGGTGGTCGACGCGTATCTGCGTTGGAACCTTTATAAACTTTATTACTTTATTGCCTCTAAGCACTTGGTATAATATCTACATAGATTGGCCCGGGTTATATGGATCTGTAGGGGAATTTTAAATCTACAGGGGGAGAAATTTCCAAAAAGGTGATTTATAGTTTAGGAATTTTATTAATTATTTTACTTAAAAATTCGTAAAGTTGGGTTTTCTTTATAAGTTACTAAAATATAATTAATAAAAGTGGACTATTTATAGACTTTGATATCAAAAATAGATAAATATTCAACCAATTTAGTTACTTACATAATAGTTTGTGACTTTTTAAAATTATTTTTACTTAAAAACGTTGGTTGAAGTTGTTAATTTTTATTAGTCACTTAAAAATATTTATTAAAAACTGATTATTTCAAGAAATTAAAAGAAAATTGTTTCAAAAAAATACAAATATTAGCTGTATTTATTAAATTTAATAATATAACCTATATTAGGTGCCCTATATTATTAAATTTTAATAAAATATATTAAAAAATTTGAATTAGGGTTCGAACATCAAGCTCTTATGAACTTAATTTTTGGTAATTGCTTTTTTTCTTTAAAAAATATTCCATTCTTTAAAATAAACTGAATATAATTTATATAAAATTCTTAAAAATTAACAAGAAATTGCTAAGAATTCATATAAAAAATTACAAAATTAAAAATGAAGTCTCTTAAAAAGTACTCTCTTATTTCAAAAGTATTTTCTTTAATTTTAAGCCAAAACTTGGCTATTATTTTCTCCTCAAAAGAAACTAAAATTTCCCTAAAAAAAAAGATATATATTTTTTATGAGCTAATTATGAGCTAATTATGGAGTTATATACCTATAGTTTCTCTCAGTGCATCCCTGCTATCAGTCGATGACTATGAGACGCTGCCGCTGCCAACGACGTCGATCGAAGCCGACGCCGACGCCGAATCCGAACCGAGTTTTCAGTTCCCAAGTAACTTCGGTGGCGTCGTGTCGCGAAAAATAATAAAAGCTGGAAAAATAAATAGAATTTTTTAGCTCACGTCTCACGTTTATGCGAATAAATATTTTTTTTGTTGAGGTGCTGGCTCCGAAGTGCGAATGAATGATCTGATCCAGTGTATAAATTAAAAAAAAAAATAATAATAAACCAGAAAAATGGTGCATTTGTATCAGCGACGTCGCAACCGCGAACAGGTGGGTTCTCACCAGATGGGTGGGTTGCTGCTAGCCCACCCCACCCCAACCCTTCCAATCAGATTGCCAATCAGAGTTCCAATCAGTTCCGTTCTGTTTATAAAGATATATATATATATATATGTATATCTGGTGGGGTGTTCATGACAGGCATTTGAATTGTCTCTAATTAGTTGGCTTGTCAATGAATGAATTGCCTGGAATTCATTGATCTTTCAGATACTATAGCTCACAAGTCTAGAATTCATACAGATATATAGACAGATATGTAGTATGATTTCATCTCCCCTTTCCGAGAGAGTCATGCGCTATTAACTCGAAATTAACGATGATCCCATGATTAATTACCGAGAATTAATTCATTTAACTTTATGATCCATCAACGGTGTAGCTCCCATCCCCATCCCCATTCCCATCCCCCCTCCAATCATAAACACTCAGAGTTTATGAATCCATCGGTCTGTATCGGGTATCTGTATCTGTATCGAGTGCATTACCATTTCCATGAATCAAATCTGAAGATACCGCAAACCGGAAACCAACCAGCTAGCCAGCTTGTCAAGTGGGTCACTCAGCCACAACTTTGGTCCACAAAATGCCGTAAATTCAATTGGTTATTGATTCGAATCTGTTGTGCTTTTTGGGTCCAAATCACACCGCTGGCTTCTAATGGGGTTACGGTTCTGGGCTTTGAAAGATTGACATGGCTTTGGCTCTGGGATTTGGGTCAGGTTTACGAATATAGGGCACTGATTATTGGATTATTCATATTTTGAAATCTGTATATACAATTAGTCAGGGGTTGTGTTATTTTACTTAAATTAGTATACTTTTATGAAAAGGGATTTTTTTTATTAAATATATAAAGAGTTTCTAGAAATGGTGGTATTTTTTAGATAGATTATAGATAGAGAGATAGATAGTCTATAGAAAGATGCTAAAATAAACCCTAGAAACAGTTTATTTTATTTTTAAATTGTTGGATTAATATTTATAGAGAATATTCTAGTTAGTTTATAACTAGATATAACTAGACTAAAATATAATATAGAGATAAATATTTATGGACAATACTTTTTTCGGTAGTTTTTTGTAAACAATACTGTACTATTTTGAAAAAAATACCATATTGCCAACCTGATATATTTTATCAAAATAATAAAACCATACCTGACAAACCAAAGGTTCTATAATACCTTTAAAACCAAAAGAGATAAACTATATTTTTTCAAAACTTTTTCCATTAAACATAATATAGAGCCCTTTTTTCAAAATAATTTTAATTGTTGGAAAATATTTCGGGACTTGGACGATTATTTTGTCGATTTAAATTAATTGGTTTATCGATTAAAAATCGAAATCAACCGATCTCAATCGTAGGGAAAATTTGGAATAATCCTAAAATAGTTGATACTATAAAGTAGTTTTAATTCTAAAAAGTCTAGCGTTAAGACTAGGAATGGGCATGTAGTGGCTCTCTAGGCTCCCAGAGCACCCAAAAAGAGGTAAAAGTTTGTTGAAAATTTTTCCAAAAACCACTAGAAAAAGAATACTACTCAAAATACTCCTCAGTATTTACACCCCTCAGTAAAAATAGTATTTTTGACTTAAAAAACCTTTATTTTTTCGAGAAGCAGACCTTATAGATTATGCAGACCTCTAAAAAGTTTTGAAATAAAATGACTTTAAAATGGAGAAATTATCTGCCAACATATTATATCCTTTTGTTACTAATTTAAGTTAACAAAATATTAATTATTACTTTTAACTTTAATTTTAATCTTAAAAATCTTAAAATTCCTAACTCTAATCCTATTGTTTCCTCTTTTTGATATTTTCCAGGCTGTGAAACAATTCATTGATCTCTGCAACAACTTGGTTGCCAACCGCAGCACAACAACAACAGCAGCAACCACAGCGGCATCACCAGCAGCTTCCGTTTCCGCTTCCGCCGCCACTGTCGCCTCCTCCTCCTCCACCATCACAGCCAGCAGTAGCAGTAGCACAGACCCTTACCCCTTACAGAACCAACAACAACACTTAGTACAATTACCCACCGGAGGAGGAGGAGGATCTGGATCTGGAGGAGGGGCTACCACTCCCGTTAGGAGACAAATATCCCCAACGACAGCTGTTAAGTTTCTCCACGCCCGCAAGTTCGATGTCCCGCGTGCCGTCTCCCTCTACGAACAACATGAACAGATCCGCCAGAAGGAGCATCTCTACAACATCGATCCGGACGTGGAGACACTACGATCAGAGCTACAGACTGGCAAGTTTACGATACTGGTAAGGATCTAATCTCCCACTAGTACTAATTACTTGTACTAATATTAATTAATAATTAATATCTTTAGCCCGCAAGAACTTCCAGTGGCGCTGCCATTGCCTTGTTCACCGCCAACCGCCACAGTCCACTGAGTGCCTCGCACACCACCACCCTCCAGGGCATCGTCTACCAGCTGGACAGTGCCCTCCAGGACACGGAGACCCAGCGGGCCGGCCTGGTGTTCATCTACGACATGAGTGGCTCCAAGTATTCCAACTTTGATTACGACCTCTCCCAGAAGATTCTCACGCTCCTCAAGGTGAGTCTTGATTTCATGATTCGCTTTTTTGTGGCATACTTTTGGGCTGTAGGGGGGAAATTTTTAGGGAAATTCATAAATAATTGGGATTTTTGTTGGAATTTTATTAAATTTGAGATGAAAGTGGAATTTTAAATTTAATTAAATTTTAATAAAATATTTGAGGAATATAAAAGTTAATATTTAATTTTTTTAAACATCTTATAACTCATTTTGGTGTTTAAATAAAAATATTTAAACTTAATTATTATTTAAAAGCCTAAAGAAACTTAAAGTCAAAGAACTAGTTATTAAAAATAATGAATAAAATTAATAGAAAAAAATGTTACTAAAAAAAAAAGAATATATATAAAAAATAATAAAGTAAATTATAAATTCTGTTAAAATATTTGAGTATATTCCTCAATATTTTATTTTTCTTATATCCTCTTAATCTAATCGGGTTTTTAAAACAAACTATTAAAACTTAATTATTATTTAAAAGCCTAAAGTAACTTAAAGTAACAAAAAAAAACAATATCCCAAATATTTTAAAATTAATAAAAAAAATTAAATATAGAAAATAATATAAAAAAAATATTAATTTAGAAAAAAACAAAATACAGTACTTAGTTATTATATTTAAATCAAAAATAAATATAAAAACTAAGTACTTTAAATAGTACCTAGTTCCATTTACAAAAAAAATGCAAATCCAACAAGTAAAGCCATTTAATTTATTAAATAATTTCCATATTAAAAACTAGCCATTTCCCATAACTTTCGCTTTTCAAAGCTACTTCCCTAAATAATAGGTTTTTATTTCTTGGGGGTTATGCTTCACAAAACAAAACAATTTAAAAAAAAAGTACTTATTTTAATGACAAATCTCACAAACTAGGCTCACAAAATATTAAAATTAAAAAGATAATATTGAAAGCTTTAAGACCCCATTAGTTTCAAAGCCTAAATCGTAAAGTCCTCCCTAATCCCCCCCCAAACCGTAGTGGGTTAAAAGTCACCTATATTTGAATGTGGGTCTTCCCCCCTTTTGTAATTTCCACAAAAGACTCCAAAACTGAAACGGAGCTCTCTTGCCCCAAAAGCCCACCGAGCGTGTCGCCTGAAATTAAAATATTAAACATGCCTCTATTAATACAAAAGATACTATTTTTTTTTTTATTTATTTTGCGGATGTTTGTGTATCTGTATCTGGATATCTGTGCGTATCTGTGCCAAGTGGCCTGTGTGGATTCTCTATCAGCGGAATTGCTGAAAAATGTCTTCAAGCTGAAAATTTCTGTCTCGTGTCGTTGGCTTTTCATGTCAAGCGTAAAATTTATCCACATATGTGGAGGGGGCTGGCTTTTGAGGAAAATCACTCAAGTTTTTCCATTCCAAAGAAGTAGGCAGTCGGCTTTTGAAAACTAATTTCCCTTTTCTTAGATTTTTAAAAAGCTGACTCTCGTTTTGATATTAAATTCCTATTATTTCTTATTAAAAGTTGCAAGTTATGGGCATCGATTGTGTTTATTTAGTTAGTAGTTTAAACAAAAGCCAGTTGGTGCCACAGTCTGCAACTGAAATGCAACTTATCCCCACAAATTCCTTTGTTTTTGTTTTTTTTTTTTTCGAGGGAGAATTGCATATTGTTTGGATTACTGTTTCTGATTCGCAATTTATTCTGCTGTTGCTGTGTGCCATTTGAGTTGGCTTTTGTTTAACAAACACAAGCTTTCCATAAAATATAACCAGCCTACGTACCTGGCTCGGAAATCCTCTGAAAAAATAATACTGAGAAGTGTTCTGTATATAAATTCTTGCTTATGTACCTACTTCATAAAAAAAACACTTTAATTTGCTTAGAAATTCCTTACTTTCCCTTGTAATTTTTCTGTTTATTTGTCTCCTAACTTCCGGCTATCTGCCACGCCCCTTTCCCTATTAAACCTATTTGCATAAAGAAGTATATATATAATTGAGAAAAAGAAAGAAAAAATATCCAACAGGTTGCCATAATATCTTTTTCAATGGAACCTTGTTTTTCATTTGATTTGCGTCACAATTGTCCGAATTCCGCATTTCTTTTTGAAATTTCTTCTAGGAATTGCGATTCACCTTTTCGACACTTGACCATGTCCGGCATTATATAGAAATATATACATATAAAGCCACCTACATAAAGCTATATGCATATGAGAAATAAGAAACCCACTTATGAGTAACCAAAATAAGTGGTTTTGACATGTTATTGGCATTTTTTAAGACTAAAAAAATCTTTTAATATTTTTATTTGAATAAAAAATCTTAAAAATATTAAAGGGAATTAATAATACTGTTTTTACAGTTTTTTTTTTTTAAGATTTTCATAGCTTTGATAAATTATTAGATTATAGATCATTTTTGTAGAAGTAAACCAACATAAAATGGGGACTTTATAGCAGGTTTTACTTTTTCTTAATATAAATTTTATAATTTCTTGCTTTTAAAGCCACAAATATTTCCAAAAACACAAAAATTTAATAAAATACAGGGCAGAGATTAAATTTTAAAATTCTACTACCTTTCTGCTACTAATTAGGGTGCTACTACTTTTGTCAAAGCTACTGTAAACATTTATACATATGTATTGTATGTACATATATTATATACAAAGTATATATCAATTCCATTATGCTACAAAAATCAAAACGCACAAACGAAAAAAAAAAAATAAAAATATAAAAGTTAACAATGAAAACGATTCGGCGTGGGCGCCTTAAGAATAAGCAAGAGAGCGAGAAAGAGCTAAAGAGGAAGTACTGGAGACCGAGAATGACTACTGAGAGTGTCCCATAACCGTTCTCTTTGGCGCGTGTCTGTGTCCGATTTTTTTTCTGTTAGGAAATGCGGCGAGAGAGAGCCGCATAGATAAGCTGCGTTGGCGGATAAGGTGGGTAGGAGGGGGGGGGATAATAAGGTAATGGGCCACCTTGACAACGGCGGTGGCAACTCTGGCGTGTGTCATGCCGCGTATGCGCAATATTTTCGGGGCCAACACGCATACGCAGCGTTGACGCAATGAGTGCGCCATCGATGACAAACAATGAAGAGATCGCACGCACACTGGCTCACACGAGTGGTCTTAATAAGGTGGAATGTGCCCACGCTTTTAAATACCCTACTTAAGAGGGGGGTTTGGCTTTCTATTAAAATTATAAATTCCAAATTTATTTATCTGAAAAATCAATTAACTAGATAGTAATATTTTTTTTTTTTAATTTTGATTTTATTATTTTATTTTATTTTCTACACACACCTTATACTTTACGCACTTTGTACGTCACAACTGTTAAGAGTATTCCAATGAAGCGTTTGCTCAACTTAAAGCACTCTCACTTTTAGGCAGAGTATGGCCGAGAGAGAGAGAGCTCTGGCAGCCCCCTCTCTTTGGGGGAACCTCGACCTCCTGCGCCGCCTCCCACTCGTGCCTGCTGGCCTGCTGGCTGTCCCCTCTCCGGCTCTCGCTCGGCTCCCTCTCTCTCTTTTGCGTGACGCGCCGTCGCTTGTGGCTATCTTTTACCTTTTGCTTGATAAACTAATTCAGTTGACGTGTTCTAGTCGAACGCTATAGATTGGAACCCGCAAGAGTCCCCCCGCAAGAAAACGGAAGAAGAAGCTTTAAAACGTGCGTGTCTTGATTTGTTTTCGGTGCATGCGTGTGCGTGCGTATTATGGCCATATGGAAAGGCCATTTCCCATTTCCGATGTGCTGCGCGTGTGAAAGTTTTCCATTGTTTTTTTTTTTTCTGTTATTTTGGCTGCTGCACTTGGCCCAGAAAACACTTGACCAAACACCCTGATTGACAATTAGATTTAGTAGTTAGTATTTATAGATCTTTTAGAGAGAGAGAGAGAAGAGCTGCGCAGTTCATTCATTGCTCAAATGGCTTAAATACTAGAATTAAAAATACTCAATGACTGTTTCGATGTGTTAACGCTTTTGTTATTCCCTTCTGTGTTATTTTTACAACGTGATTTTTGTTGACGCAAACATTTAGTCCCAGAGACTTGCCAGTCAGTCCCCTACTCTAGCCCCCTCACCCCTTATATACCCCTACATACTAGATAGATTCTGATTCAGATATAGAACCGTGTATGGGTGAACTTTAAATGCAAATTACGAGCATGTACTATACGTATGTTTTTTCTACTCGAATCAATTCAATTTTTGAACGTGCGAACCAGCCTGCTTCCGCATTACACCCATGCCTCAGTCCCCAAGCCCCATCCATACCATCTGGTTGCAAAAACAAAAAAAAACAAAAAAATTTCTTTTGACGTAATCATCGTGCCAGTTCCAAAATTTAAAATTCTAGGAAACGCTTGGCTAGCGATAACAACTTTTATAGTATGGGTTGATGATTAGTAAACAAAAAGCGCGACTTTCTTATCAACAGAAACAATTTAATATTTAGTTATGAAATTTAAACTCTAAGAAATAGGGGTATTCCTAGTTGACTCATAAAGTATGGAACTTTTTTTCTTGAAATTTTTGTGGGTTTTTTGTTTTATTTTTTTCCATTTAAATTAATTTGGAAATTTCTTGAAATTCTTGAGAAAATTGCTTCATAAGCCACCACACCAACCTTTTTTTTGGTTCTTAGTACTGATAGCTTTCAATCACGCCCGTCATCCGATAGTTTCATACATGAAGCTGGCAACTCTGCTCCAAAAACTTCAACCACTTTCTGTCGACAGCTGCACCAAATGCAACCTTGCATTCCCAAAAACTACCCTTACCAGCTCTCTCTCTCTCTCTCTTTTGGACTCTCTCTCTGAGAATTTCTTTCATGTTTTCTCTTGGTCCTGCCGCCACACCACCCCTCCTGTTGGGCAGCAACCCCCTTGCCAGCAGGGTTGCCAGGGACTCCCACGAGAACAGTCAGCCGCGAGAGGAAGTGAGATAAACCGATGGTGGTGGTGGTGGTGGCGAAAGGAGAGCGCGTGCGCTGAGAACGCGGCCGCAACATAGCAAAAAA